GGAGGGCGGGCCGGTAGATGAGGGTCCGGCGCCGCCGCCCCCCGCCCAGCCCTGCAGCACCGGCCTGAAGTTGGGGCTATTGCCGCCGGAGCTGCACGCCCGGCTGCTGGACCAGGAGGATTACAGAAACCGCACGCAAGCTGTGGAGGAGCTGAAGAGGGTGGTCGGAGGTGCCAGCCAGGCTGCGGTGACCTCCACGCCGGCCCCCAGCCTCCTGGGGCTCATCAGCTTCCTCTACACCCTGCTCGACGACTCCAACTTCAAGGTGGTGCTCGGGGCCTTGGAGGTAATACATCTGCTGGCCCTGCGCCTGGGCGACCAGGTCCAGGCTTTCCTGGCACCTCTGGTCTCCGCTGCTGCGAAAGTTCTGGGAGACAACAAGCTGGCCATCCGGCAGGAGTACAACCGCCTCTTCCTGCGGCTGATGAAGGCAGCGGGTCCTCAGCCGGTGCTGGACCTGCTGCTCCAGCAGGAGCATCTGCAGCACAAGAACTCCAAAGTCCGCGAGGAAGTGGTCAACATCTGCATCGTGGCCCTCCTCACTTACCCTAGTGAGGAGCTGGACTTGGCCAAGCTGGCGTTTGGGCTGGCTCCAGCACTGGTGGACAGCAAGCGCAGGGTCCGGCATGCTGCCATGGAAGCGTTTGCTGTGCTCGCATCTTCCATGGGCTCGGGCAAAACCACCCTTCTCTTCAAGGCAGTGGATGCCGTGGAACTTGGGGACAACGGGGACGGGGTGATGCACGCGGTGCAGGCCAGGCTGGCCAGGAAGACCTTGCCGAAGCTCGTAGATCAGGGGTTTATAGAGTACGCTGTGCCCTTGCCCTCATCTGGTCATAACAGGGGGTCCTGTATACCCCCTGGAGCAGATACAGAGTGGTTGCTGATGGGCAACAGGACTCAGAGCGCACACAGTTACTGTGGGTATTATGCAAGGGATGATGCTCTGCAGAACTCCAGCTCGCATGATGTGTGTGCTGATCAAGGAGTAAGTCCAAGAAGAGTCTTGAGTGCGGGTAAAGGAAAAAACAAACTGCCTTGGGAAAATGAGCATGCTGGAGAGAGGGAAGGTGGTTCAGAAGTCAAGATGCCTTTCACGAAGGGTGTGGAGCAGGTATGTACTCGTAGCTCATTGGGCTTGTTTATTCTAAGGCATGTTGCAAAGGGGGACTTGAAAGTTGTCAAAGGTTTATTAGATGACAGGTATTTGCGAGGTATAGCTAATACTACTAATATTTTATGTGCAAGAATCTATATGTACATCAATCTGGGAAGGGAAATTTGAGAACTTCTTGTGTCAGATTTAACACTAGCAGGAATCAGACAACTTATCACTTACAAAAAAACCCTGTATTTTTTCTTAAGTTAGCTGGACTCCATGAGCCACTTTTTCTGTCCAACCCTAGTGACCTGTCTCTGACAATGGCTAGCTAAAACCAGGGAATGAGTGCAAGAGTGGGGAAACTATTTCAGAGCTTGTGTTTGTATATTTGCGTTTGAGAGTACCTGACTGACTGCAAAAATTTTCCTAAACACAGAAGCTGTTTGGAGAACAACTGAGGAATTGCTTCAATTCAGGCTTTAAAGGCAGAACCCTGCAGTGTGGCTGAGCCAGTGCTTTTTGGCAGTGTGCTGACCTGTAATAAAACCTGGGGCTTGCCAAATGTCTATGTGGCTCTTGTTCCCCAGTCTGATTTGACTAGGAAAAATGTAGGTCGGGCTGACATAGCAATTCTGATTGACCCCAGTTTTGATTTTATCACTTACTGACCATGTCGGCAGCTGCAAAGAGGAGGAACCTTTGAAAAATTGTTCAGTTCCCGTTTACTTTGGCAGTGGTTCTGTTCTGTGACATCTGTTTAGGTAAGACCTGGGGGGTGTATCTGTGTGTGGTGGGTTTTCTGTTGATGTTTGTTTGTTTTTTTTATCTGGGCAGGTTTAACTTATCATAACTTGATCTCTAGCAAGTGAGTTTAAGCAAGTAGATCTTTCCAGAAAATCAAAGACTATATAGAACAGACTTCCTCACTACCACATTTACGTGTTCAGGATCTAATCCTTAGTTGCTTGGTAACTTGTTCCTGTATTGGATGAGGTCATGAGCAGTGCTACTTTGTGAAGGCTAGCTTTTAATGAAGTCTCTTAATAAAAAGAAACATGAGTTAACATTACTGTACAGTAAAAACCTTGAAGTGCATGTATATACTTGCATGGCACAGGCTCAGGTGTTTCGTTGGTGTGTGTATTACCTTTAAGCAGACTCCTAGAGAGATCTGTGTCTTTTTGAGTTGATGAATTGGGCAACTAAGTTCCCTTGGGTTATCTCCAAGGCAAATAGGGTCTGGACAACAAGTTGTGTAGGAAACACCTCTAGAGCAAGAAGGTTCTTCTTTTTGAAACAGCTTTTCAGTATTAACTAATATAATTTGTAGAAATAATAGTTAATTGCCAGCACTCTCTAGGCATGTTGGGCTGAGTTCTGCACTGCTGCTGTTTGCTGCTGGCTGGGTTTGTGTTGTTCTGTAGACTGCGAACAAAAGCCAAGCCAAGGCACGCACCAAAACCTGGCGGTTGCTTGGAATGGTGAAAGGTCCTCTGCCTGAGAAAGCCCTCTCTTGAGGTCACAGTTAGGTGCTGTGGAAATGTGTCTTTGGTTTGTTTTTTGTTTTAACCCTTTTGGTTATGTGATTATATTTATCCCTGTAATTTATTGGGAGAATTGCCCAAAGTTTCCAACCCCGGAGAGAGGAAGAGAAAACATTTAATTTATGGTTTCTGTTTTGTCGCATATGTAAAGCGTGTTTAGAAATGGTATGAACTTAAAGTTAAATCTGACCTGGGGAAGTAGGTTCATATTCATGGCTTCAGGTCAGTCATAACGAGGTACTTGGTTTACTAGGGAACATCTCGATACTAATATGATAAAAATTTTTTAGACTTTGTCTGTTTTCATATGTATGGTATGAACTTCATGGATGTAAATCCCATCTCATAATATCAGGATGGAAACCAGCCTAACTGCTGGAGTGCTAAGTGTGCATACGTGGGATTTTGGTTTTGTTTGTAGTATTACTCTCAAATGTGGGCAAATCATAAGCAGACTGCAGGAAGCTCTCATGTAAGAGAGCTGATCACCTCCTGTGTGTAAAGCTTAACAGGAAAAAAGAGAAAGACCTTCAGATCGACTTCCTACGTCTGACAGCCACTTGGCTTGTCTCTTGTCTTCCCAACATTTGTGAGTGAATCGTTGTGGGATGACAGGTTTTCTTTTCTCCTTGGAAGCCTTTTCCAATTGCATAACATCATGCAAATACTTCAAGTTTAAATTAACATTTTCCTTTTTTGATCATCTTTGTTCTTACATCCTTGTGTATTATGCCAAATATTTCACTTTGTTCCTACTTATGAACAGATATAGAACTTATATTTGTGCTATCTATTTTTTGCAGATTTAGAACAGAATCAGTTTCAGCCTTTATTCAGTAAAAGTGTGGTTCTGGACAGGAGTGACTTGTGACTGTCAGTGCAGGTTACTTTCCCGAGTCTCTTTTCCTTTGCTGCTCTGGAGGCTCAGGCTGTGAAGTTAACCAGTCTTGCTTTGCTTTCGCTGCTGCCACGCAGTATACAGTAGGTGGCAATGAAAATACTTCTGCAGGGAGAAAATCCTGTTTGTCGTGTGCTGTATTTATTCCTTTTTAATAAGAACTAATATTTTTTTTGCACCTAATGACTGTTTTTCCAAGGCATCCTGTACCTCCTAGAGATCTGTTTTTCTCTCTCTTCCCTCTGCTTTCTGACTTGTTCTGTTTGCCTCTCACTTCCATTTTATGTTGTTTTCTTGCATATTTAAGTTGGTAGAAAGCAGATCGATAACTTTGAGGTGTCAGAATTTGAAGACTTCATCAGTTGCACTCTACCAAAGGAAACATGTTAATACTCCTTGTGCACTTTTACTTGAAAGACGTCTGAGTAACCAGAAACCTCCAGTTAACCAGAATTCCTTTTACACTGAAGTGTAACTCCTCTCCACATAGCTTTTTGCTTCCATGCAGGTGAGTACTAGCAAGAGTAATGTTTGATGTCATGTTTGGTAGAATTTGAAAGTTGCCGATTTTGACTCGGACGTGATGAACAGGGTACCGAAATGACGCCTGCATTACCAGCGTTGTTCCTGTGGTTACAAGGAGACAGCTGAAGTCTGACACAACTCAGCAGCTGATGTCTTGCATTCAGCAGGTTTGAAAGATTTGGTTCAGTTCATGTGCAAATGGAAGCTGTTTCCTTGCCAGTGGGCGGTTAAGAAGAGCGTACTACTGGCAGACATGAGGTTTTACAGTTACCCTTCAACTGGAATTTGGGAGCTGTGGTTTTAAAAATTGCGGTGGATTAACAGCTGCCCACCTGCCAGCCTCTTTCAAGACAGATGAAGTCGAATGTAAGTTGAACCTGGCTCAAGGAGTACCTTTGTGTCTCTGTACAGTCTCATACCAATTTAGTCTGTGTAGGCTGCTGTAACCATCAGACATCTCTCTTTCCAGTAGCAGTTGTTTAATTGGTGCTGGTGACACTTATTTGTCACTCAAATAGTGGTGGCACTCCGTTTTTCAACTTCCAACGATTCCTTTTTACTTCGATATCAGTAAAGATAAGGTCTTGCTGTAACAGTGCTCCAGTGAAAGACAAAAGCATGATTTAATGTCGCTACCGCATCTTTGCCCTCTGTGAGGGAAAGAAACAGCTTTGTTCAAAAAAGAAGCACGTCGGGGAGGCTTTTTATTAGAAGGCAAATGCTGCTCATCATTGTGGATAAGGGAGAAAAAGAGTAGGGATTCATTTTAGTTGCTTACATGGTGATTGCTTAAGCAGCCCCGTCTTGGTGGAGAACTAGTCTGTGCAGTCGGTAGAGTCTAGAGAGCTGCCTTTGTGACCGAGGACCTAATTTAGGATGAGGTGAATTCTTTTCAAGACTTTCTTGAGTCCTCTTGGCTAGAGTCACAATTACTGTAATGGAACTTTAAACAACGCGGTGGTTTAAGTATTGAAATATTTATTTGATTGCTGTAGGTTGACAGCTCTCCTCACATCCTGATCATTTGTCTTGTCCTACTGTTACATCTGTCTGAATAGATTGTAAAGCTCTCCAGGGCAGGGGACATCTTTTTATCTGGCTTTGGGAGTTTTGGTACAGTATTTGCTGGCTTCTCGGTGGTGCTTGTTTTGTCACATCCGTGCCATGAAACTGCTTTTGTCCCGTGGCATGTATGTATCTTCGATGCAAGTAGGTGAACTGTGTTTTCGCTTAAGGCACACTGGGATGAGTAAACTTGGACAGTGTTTCCTGTATTTGAAGACATTGCCTGTTAACTGAAAGAGATTGCCATAAGCTGGATAAATAAAGCTCTTCTCCTCGGGGCACTTAGCAATCAAAGTGGGGGGGGAGAAAGAAAGCCCTGTATCTCTTCTTAACTGTTTTCAGTAAGGTGTATGATGCATAAAATTTGAGTAGTTGACTTGTTCATGTAAATGTAAAAAATTAATTATTAATTCAGAAATTCCTTTGAAGTGAATTTGCTTAAAAATTAACTTTTGGAGTCATTCTGTGGCTGAAAGGATGCATGAAATTAGCTTAATGTTTAAAGTTGTTTTTCTACTGGTATTTTTAGGGTCATGTTACACAGTGATTGTCCAAGGCCGTGTCTAGACTTTCCCGATCAGATAAGATGTGAAGTAAAACATGTGTAAGTTAATGTGTACTAAAAATACCACGTAGGTAAAGCACATTGCCTTCGAGCGTTTGTCTTTAAATGCAGCTTCTGTCAGTGATGTTAAATCGGGTCATTGATGAAACATTTCTCTGTAACCTCTGAAGTCCTTTGAAACTGATTTTGTTTCATACCCATCTGTAAACTGATGGTTGCCAGCTATGCCGCAGGATTCAGAAGGGTGATCTGCCCCCACTGAGAACATAACCAAGCGTGGCCGTCCCGCGCAGTGTGTTTCTGTCCAGTGCCAAGTCCAGGTGTGACTGCGGTGACACGCGTGGCTGCCACCTCGAGCAGCAGAGGTGTCACCACCTAAGGATGGGTAGATTGACACTAAAGATGCAAGCGCAGA